GGTGCTCTGTAGCACAAGTGTAGTTAGAAATCTTTAACTATAGAAATTTATTTTCTAATCAACCTTCTTAAAATTTATTAGTTCAAGTTGAAGGGTTTTGGCAGCCTTGTTATAAATAAATAGCTTATCTGTCCCCTTACCTGGATTTGTAAACTATAAGATGTAATAAAGTTTCTACTATAATATTATATTAATAAAAAAAATAAAATAAAAATAATGTAGAATTGAAAGCAAAGATGTATAATAAAATTTATGAGATAGATTTTTGTAAGGTTTTATATCAGCATAAAACAATAGAGAAATTAAGATTAATATTTGTAATAAAAATAATGTTGTATATTGCTATATTGATATTTATTGCCATAATAGAACTTAATGTGAATAGTTATACAAATCAAGATTGTGATCAAAAGGTGTGTATAATCAATTATTATTTAGTTAAAAATATAATTTTTTTTAAATTTGGCAATTCTGCCTTTATTGTATTAGGAGTGCATAATCAAAATACATAGTTTTAAAACAAAAAGCCTGCAATAAACTCAATATCTTCCACCTTCTTACTTTTCAATAAAGACTCACTCAGCTGCTCATAATAGTGCCCAAGTGTGATCTGCTGCAGCAATAATTTATTCATTTCCAGCATCTAACTTGCCAGATGACTCCTCCAAAAAATTACTAAAAGCTTATTGCTAGCTTTGTCAAGATTACCTTTTTCTTACTATTTTTCCTTCTTCAAAGGGGTAGAGTAAATAGGATAAATAATAAAAAAAAACAAAAAAAAAATGAATATGACAGAAAAAAAAAAAAAAAAAAGAATAAGAAAAAATGAAAACATATATGAAAGGGAATATAAAAGAGAAAATAACAAAAAAAAAATAAAAAAGATAGCAGAAAATTCTGTCTTTTTTAGCACTACTATTACTTGTACAAGGCTGAAAAAATTATATAACAAATACAATATTTGTATATCTCTACTGTAAAGTTTCACCTTATCATTTAAATTTTCTGACAAATTTCTGAACTCCAAAATAACATAAGCAGCCAAATTCACTATTACATGAAGTAGCACAGCTTGTAAACAAAACAAACCAGATACATGATCACAGTCTGCTAGAACTGTCAAGATTTGAGAAGTGCAAACAATGCTAATCTTTTGGAGGGAGTAAGCTATTTTGCCCACTTTTGTGGAATTTTGAAAGAGTAGCAGAGTTATAAAGAGAAAAGATAATACCACTTGTCTTGTTTATTAAAAAAGTATATATTTTTTGCTAAATGCAATAGCAATTTATAATACCCTCATTTGAGAGCAGGAAGGCACAAATACTTTCAGTAAGTAATAAACTCTGGGCTTGTCAGCAAATAGCATATAAGAACTATTTCAAACAACAAGTGCCAGCTCCAGTAGTGAGTGATAAACTCTAAAGAAGTTAGCAGGTAGCATATGAGAACTACCTCTAAATAATAACAGCCGAGTTACAGAGCTTAAAGATTATTTTCTAACTGTTTTTACCTCTATAGATGCTTGTATTTTTTCAATAAAAATTTTGAATTTATAGTAAAAGTGATTTTTAGTTTTAGTTAGAAATATTAATTATAGTAAATACATAATTGATAATAAAGGTTTTGAGAGAAATTATAAACTAAATAAAGATAATGATAACTTTGAAGATGAAGTACATGAGGGTCATGATGATAACCACACTCCTGTATATTACATTTAAGGAATGTTGGGTTTTGAAAACTAGAAACCTGATTGTGAATTCAGTTTACAATGTTATATATGTATGTAATACCTATAATGATCAGGGTAATAGATATTAATTGAGTAGATCAGTGATTTAATGCATGAAGTTTATTTGTAATCTGTATGTCATAAAAGTGTAGTCTATTATAGTTGTATATAATCTAGTATTAGAAATGTAATCATCTATTATAATTTGATAAAACCTATTTGTAGTCAAATAGAAATTTTGTATAAATAGAATAAAGAGATTTATTAAAGAATTTAGTTCTCTCTTTTTAGAATAAGAAGGCTTTTCTATTACTTGATATAAACTCTTTTAGTAAGAAACAGTAGACATAACTTGTGAAGATATACATTATGAGGGCTAAATCGACTCCTAATGTCAAAATATAGCTTTATAAATATCTACTATAACTGTACTAGTCCAAATCAACACTCTAAACATATGTGCTAATTTTGTTTGTCCCCAAAATTTAAGGGATACTGACTGACTAGTTGGGGTTAGATCGTTATTTGATAGATATTGTTACATAAGAAAATTTTTCAATATTACACTATATTACAATAGTTTCGAAATCCATTCTAAAATTCTTAAGCTAAATAAAATAAAATGTAACTTTTAAAATCTCGTTCAAACATGTTAGCAACTTGTATTATCCAATTTTGTACTATAATTTGACTTTTTTTATATTGACTGCAAAATCCAAATATTGAATGGATCAACAACCTTAAAGTTTATAGTGTATTAAAATCTTTAATACACGTCTTTTAGAATAAACCTATCAAATAATCCTCTTTTGCTCATGATCCTAAACTATATTGATGTTATAATAGAGAAAGATTACAACAATATATCACATATTAAAATACTTAGTAAATAATTCACTTATTTATCATAACTAAAAATGGATTGAATTGTTTTTAATAATCGTTTTATATTAGTAACATCAACATTACATATTAAATAATGAATTCAATTTATTTGCAAATTTTTTAATAATTAATTATTATGTATAACTTGTTATATATAAATGTATATATTATTATGTCATTTATAAGCATATTAGTAATCAATTAAGTATATTTTATACTCTTATATATCTATTCAATTTATCATTCAATTTAAAGTTTCTTACACCTATATATCTATTCAATTTAAAGTTTCTTACACTTTTATATTTTCGCTCAATTAAAAGCTTCTTCTACTCTTATATATTCGTTCAATTTATATCTATTCAATTTAAAATGGCAAGCGATAAAGTTGAATCTAACTCAAAAGAACTTCATGACTATCCTAGAAAACCTGAAATCAAATATAAAGATTCATCTGCTAGTACTTACCATTATACAATTATTTCTGAAAGATACTATCTGTCACTACCTATTCTTGTTAGAACTCAGAAAAAAAATAATAATAGTTATAAAATTCCTGACAATTACAAAGTTTTAGTTAGTTGGGCAAAAAAAAGTAAAACATGAAACATTACATACTCTATTAATTATTTAGATCAAAAAATTAATGATATCGTAAAACAATTAAAACCTCGTTTTAAAATTGAATACGATAAAGATGGTTCTCAAACAATAGAGTCTTGGTGAAGTGTGACTCATATAGCAAATTTGTTTGTGCAGGTAAAAATTTTAAAGAATTTTTTAATATTTATTTATAAAATAATATTAAATAATTTTTTTATATAAGACATATAATTCTAAAGGAACATCAACTCTATCGGGAACAATAGTATTTGGGTTGCAACTCAAATGTGTAGAACAAGCTAGAGATACTTATCGTCATAATAGTATTTTTCGACCTATTGAATCTCTTAGTAATTCTGGAAAAAGATCTAAAGTTAAACAAATTGGTGAAAAAGTGCGTGATTATATTGATTACAAAACAACATATTTACATTATAAGGATCAAATACAAATAAAATCACTTGCTCTGTCAGTTGATAATCAAGATTGGATACTTGATTATTCTAAAGACAAATCATTAGAAAAATAAAAAAGCAAGCATATGTTTGTGCAATGGATCATAATTATATTTCAAGAGATGCCATTCGATCAATTGCAAAAATTTCACCAGAATTAGAACATGAATATACAATTAGTAATGAAAAACTAAATCTTGATAAAATTATGCAAAACATTATACCTCTTTATGTTATAGATACTAATATAAGTAGCTCAACAATACCTATAGCTCATAACGAAGAAGTTCATATTAATAATAATGAGGTAATTTAAGGTATAACTGAATCAATTGAAAAGCTAGTTACAGAAGTGTAAAAGATATTTTAAAGTATATGATTCTGTTTTACATCAAGGAAAATATATTAAATCCTAGTGATCCTTTAATTATGTTACGAACAGTGTTGGTTAAATCACTGGTCAATCAAAAATTCACTGGTCAAACTGGTCTGGTCAAATTGGTCAAGTGGTCTGGTCAAATTGGTCAAATAGCTTAGTCTATTAATAAAATAAAAATAGTATATATACTATATATATATATATATTATATATTTAAATGTCATTTGACCAATTTGACCAATACTAAACTCTTTGAGCAGACCGGTCAAATTGGTCAAACTGGTCTGGTCAAGCTTGACTATTGACCGGTCCACGTCAACACTGGTTACGAATATCAGGAGATAGTCGGAATATAGGATGTTAAATAAAACATGTCATGGTAACATGTTCATTTTAATGATATTAATAATTTTCAAATACCTGAACGACATTATACTATAGTTCTATATTCTGGTATCAAAGATTATCAAATTTTACAAAAAGTTTTAACTCCACTAATAAATGATTTACAAGATATTTCTCAAAATGGAACTATCGATGAGTTTGGCAATAGATGGAATATTGAGCTTTATTTTTCATCTGATTGGAAGTTTCTCACTCTATGCTTAGGATTAAATGCAGCTAATGCTGTATATTTTTGTCCTTATTGTAAATGCACTAAAAAGGAAATTGGATTATATAATAAACATTGGGATAAAAAAAATATGAAAATGCTTCTTAATAATCATAATTCTTGTCCTGGACATATTCGACAACCATTATTTTTTATGATACCTTTAAAAAACTGGATTCCAGATGAACTTCATATATTACTTAGAGTTACTGATCGTTTATGGGATTTAGTTTTAGCTGAGATTGATATTAACAACAATCAAATTAGAAATCTTATATATGAAGAAATGAAACGGATTAGAATTAGTTTTAATTTCTGGCAAGAACATAATTTATGTGTATGGAATTCTACATCATTAACAGGTGATAAAAAACTTAGAATGCTTTGTGAATTCGATCTTACAAAGTTTTTTAATCAACAAAAAGCTATACTTATTCGACAACTTTGGAATGAATTTTATCTACTTTATAAATTATTACAAAATATTGAAATTACTGAAAAAATCTTTGAAGAAAAAGTAAAAAAATGAGTTGAATTATTTTTAACTCCAATATTAGGAATACCAAATACAGCAAGCTTTGTTAAAGGACTTTACAAACTATCAGATATTACACCTTATATACATCTTCTTTATAATCATATTTCAAATATAATTGATGAACATAAAAAATTAGAAATTCGAGCATTTTCATGTGCTCCAATTGAAAAAAAAAATCATTAGCAAATAATGTACTTTTTTAATAAAACTTTAAGAGATGGTGGTGATAAAACTTAACCTTCTTCTATTTTAGTAATATTGCAACAAGAAAACAGATTATTATATTACATTAAAAATAAAATACCATTAGCTTTTAAAAAATCCAAGCATATTCATATTAAATAAAATTATTACATTATTGTCTAAATAAATTAATAGTATTTAATAATTTATGCTTATAAAATTTAAATAATATGTATAATAATTAATTACCGTTGAACTTGATAGCTAATAGTATCAACTTGAAATTTAATAGTAATAAATCCAGTAGAAATTGTATTCTGGTGAGTATCGGTTAATGTTTCAGTATACCATTCTATTTTTATTTCAGGCACTCTTTGAAAATTTGATAGTGACAGAAAATATAGCATTACATATACTTTTTGATCAAACTTATACCATTGTCCACTCCATTCAGTATCTTGTAATATCATTGCCATTGTTGTATCAGCACTTTCACCTTTAAAAATACATGTATACTTTCTTTTACAAGGCGAATAACATTGAATCCATGATCCAAATATACCAACAAATTGACTTTTGCCACAAGGAATTTTGATTATTTGATTTCCAGTTTTTTTAAAATTAAGCAGCAATTTTTTTTAATAAAAAATATTAATATTTCATGAAACACTTGAATAATATTTGATGGCAAAAGTGGAATATTAGATGGTGGCATTTTATAATTATTATGTTTAAAGGTTTCATGTTGATAAAGCCCTTTCAAACTTTTGAATCACTTTACTTGACATAAGGTGCATTAATAAGGTTTAAATGTTTTTTGATTTTTAGAATTTTTATTACTTATATATGTTACGGCAGAAGAGCTTGATAAACTTATGACTGAATAATAACTTAACAAATTAATATTTAACTATGTTTATGATAATATTGGTATTTGAAAGAGATATTACTAATGCTGACAAGTTTTTAGTATTTTAATGATTGAAATTTTAATATCAGTATTGGTATCATTATTAATGCATATTTATGTATTGTTGATTTGATCGATAAAAATCATTAACAAAATCACATGGTATCACAAAAAAAGTAATTGGTTAAAGGGTTGGGAATTGGTTGGACGCAAGGTTTAAAATGTAAATTTTTAAGCTTAGGGTACTTTATAGTATTGTACACATCAATTGACTGTCTAATATCTAAAAAAACCCTAATAATTTAGGGGACTTTGATCAGATTTTATAAGTTTTAGTGATCAAAAAAAAGGTCCAATAAACAAAATTAGCGCAGATAATTTACTAATTACCAAACACTCTAATGGTATTAGACACAAAAGAGAGTGTAGAAAGACTTGGTTCAAATTATTAGGGCCAAATAAAGTTCTAGACTATGTCACAAAACTTTAATGCAGGATCATGAGGTTTACAAGATAATGTATTATAAGGAAATTAGAAGAAACAAATATGTATTATTATATGTGTAAAATATTTAACTAGCTATAGCTAGATATTTTTTTATTCAAAATGAACTCTTGGTTTTTATAAACAGTTTTCAGCTATAATATGATTCGCTATTTCTATCTAACATATTTAATATATCTAATCCAGTTAGCCCTCTATATAATCACATAATTTTTTACTTAAAAACTTTTTAAAAAAAGTGCTTATAAAGAGGTTGTGCTTATATGGAGGTGGTTTTTTATAAGTTTAATAGTGATTTGTCCTTGAGTACAAAATGTAATAAAGAGAGATTTTTATATGATATGATTATAAGGAGAGCGATTATATGGAGATATGACTGTAGATATAACATATCTAATCTATATGATTTATATAATATATCGGTTATATCTAATGTATCTAACAGATATAATAGTTCTAATATATCTATCAGATCTGACGGATCTGACATATCTGTTAGATATGATAGATCTGACATATCTGTCATATCCAGTGTATAAAATCTTACCTCAAAAACATGTAAAAGTTGCGGACATTGTACTTTTATTTTATGTGAATAATTTTAAAAATTAGTACACTATGAATTTTTATAATATTATAAAATACATGTGCTCAAATTTAAAACATGTGCACTATTAAATTAATTATATTAATTAGTAAAATAAACTGTTTGTAATACTTGTTTGTAAATTAATTATTAATAAAATAACAAATAAATTTGTTTGAAACTATTAACTAAAAGACCTATAGAACGATTATTAGTAAAATAATATAAATCTATCAAAAAAAGTATTTTAAATTAAAATTTTAATAAACCAAATAATTAAAAAGATTAAAATTTATAATTTAATATCTAATTTTAAATAAATAAATATTTAAGTAATTAAAAAATATTATAAATTTTATATTTTATAGTGCGATTTTATTTGTAAATATATATATATATATAAATTTTAGAGTTAAATAAAAAAATTTATTTTAATTTAATAAAAACATAATTTATAAAAATAAATATTTTAGTAATTCTACAGTAAGTTTAAGTGCTTAAAACTACTCTTTTCTTTGTGACCTAATTTTTATATGCTTGCTCTAACTAAATACAAAGACTGTTTCAAAACTATGTAACAATTATATTTAAGTTATATACTGTTTATTATCATATAATATAAAATAGTGTAATTTTAATTTATAGCTACACTCTATTCCCAAGTAAGTATTGTTCTCAACTTAATATTATTTTTTAAGAATTAATACCGTTTTTGATTTGGTATAGCCTCAAGAATTCTACTATAAAATTTTATATTATACTTAGATTACAATGAATTGAGAATTGTTTCACACAGAGATTAAACCAAATATTTATCAAAGTATTAAAGCTAGAAAACTCTATTATTATCGATGCCACTATTATTTATTTGCTTAGTATTAGTAAATGCTTTTTAATTTGTTAGAAATTGAACCTAATAAGGTATTTAATTAAGATTTATTGTTAACTATTGTTCGGGGTAAAACAGCGAGTCTGTTGCTAGAAGGCCAGAAATCTCATATTATGTCAACTTTTAGGCGTGTTACGATTTGGTGAGTATCCAACTATTCTATATTTTTATTTAAGGTTTTGGGGTATAGTTTTTATTTGACGAAAGATGTTTACTAACACTTGATCTTTTGCTTCTACTATTATTTTTTTTTTCAGATGCAAGAAAAGATAAATACTTTATTAAATTTTCTTTTCTCTTTTATACAATTTGTATTTGTACGACTAACTTTATTCCTTCATTTTCCTTCTAAACTTCTTTTCTGCCACCTCCATTGACTCTACTATACTATTTGGCCGTTCTAGATTTGGGTAAATTACTTCTACGTTTTCTATTTTTAACTATTCTACTTTTACTAACCTGCCTCTTCTTCCTTTACCACAAACCTGCCCAGATCCGCCGTTTGAAACTTTATTGTCTTTCCTAGTTTGTTAGTACGCCTGTCTATTAATTGTATGATTTGTATGGGACCCAAATATGTGGGTTTCACCCAATTTTGGGTCGATCATGGATGCCAAAACCTGGGGCATCATCATTGTATTCACAATCGTCAATTGTGCATTGATCCAGGTCCCAATCGACATTTAGATCACATTTTGAGTAGTAACAATTTATACTGCCCATGACACTATCTTTAGGTAGGCTTATTTGAAGCTGGTATTAGCTGCATAATAGAGCTAAGCTGATGAGTTCCAACTTAACTATGGATCAGCATCAGCTGCCATTGTTATTGAAGCCATTGATAATACTGATATAGTACTGCAGCAGCTATTACGTAGCTACAGAATGAAATGTAGTATTTAAATAAGCCATACAAATATTATTAGCTCTAAAAATTCTTTAATAGGTTAAAATTGGCTAACAAAACTCTTTGTCATGTATGTCAGGTTTTTACATGCTATTTCAACTAAGTGTCTTTAGAAATTTTTTTATTTAATCAATTAAACGTTATCAATCAATATATTAATAAATTTCTTATTTAAATTTTTATTTATATTTATTTAAAGTTCTCTCAAGCACATAAATTATAGTTCGAAGTTCAATTTTTAATTAGTGAAAAGTAGTTTAACCAGAAGTAGGTTCATTATCGCGATGAATAAAAAAAGCTTAAACTACTTTTTTGCAATAGACTTGTTCTTATTGACTAAAACTTTATTATTTACATTCACATTATGAATCTTCAGCAAAATTACAGTAAATATTATATTAATTAATTGCAGTACTTATGCATTATCTTGGTAACTAACTAATCACATTAAGACACCACTAGTTTCTAAGTTTAGCGATTATTTATTAATCCACATTAGCTTTATAATTATCTGCCAAAATAATTCAGTTTAGTATGACCAGATCAGTATGGTATGGGTGTAAAATACCTCTATTTTTAATATATGTTCTGGTGTTATATATTATTAGAGTTAGTATTAGAAAACTATAACAAATTGGCATAATAAATCTTATGAATTTTCTTACTTGTTTAAATTGTAGCTCTCATCAATAAAGTCATGTTGTATTTGGTTGTGTATTTATCTATATTCTAAATTAGGATTTAGCAAGACAATTTCATGAATCTACTTATGAAGAATGGTTTATTATATGTAAGGTAAACAATGTGTAATTTAGATTCAATTAAATGTTACAAAATGCAATATATATATATATGTACAATATATATATAATAATATAAATAAAACAAGCTTTCCTTATTAAGTTATTTAATCATAAATAAAATTTAAAGAAACAACCATTAAAGTATTAAGTAAATATAAAACATTTTATATAAATATCTATTCAATTCACATATAAAAATAGACTGTGTACACAATATGCTCCATGTGCACCTAGTTAAGGTTTTATTAATAAATTTGGTGCACTCTGTGGCTCGAAATCTTGTGAATCTCATGCTCATTTCTAGCCAAAAACATGTAAAAACTTTTAAAAACATGTGCTTATGAGCACATTGTGCATATAGATTTTATACACTAGTGTAGGGCATCCTCAAAACCCCTTTCCAAATCTTAATTCTAACCCTAATGTGAAAAATTTTGCATTAAAAATTTTATATAAACATAATGAAAAAATATAATAGGTGCCAAACCATCATGGTACGTTTTATAATAAATGCACTAAATAATAAATAGATAAATTTTATATTGCAATAAAAAACATTTTTTGCTATTGCACAAACCATTTTTTCTTATTACTCAAAACAATTTTTACGGGTCCCTGAGCTAAAGATAGGCTTCATGCATGCACATAATTCCTTAATCATATGCATTAATGTGCATTTTATCCCATTTAAATTTTATATAGAAAAATTGAAGTATATTTAATTTAGGCCAAGATATATAATGCCAGGCAAAATTAAAAAATAGTAGTGTAGAAGTTTTGAAAAAACTTGGGTAAATATCCAATATTTTCCAGAGGAAAAATATAAAATCAAAAAAAATTATATTATGTGATATTATGCGTATTTTATATAATATGCGCATTAATGCATATTCATGTGCATATTATTATAAAATGCGCAATTTTCCCATCTCTAACAACAGCTATAGCCAGTTAGCTAGCCAGTTATAACCTAACCGAACCTATCTCTAGTTGGAAAATACAAGATTTCCAGAAGAAATCTTCCACATAATCATTCCAAATAAATCAATATCTGATGTTTTTAAAAATGGGTTGTCTTGCAAAACTTCCGGTTCTGTATTTAGTAAAGCTTTATA